TGGGCATGATGAAGTCAACACCTGCATTCGGACGGCTGAACCAAAATCATAAGAGTCGGCCAATTGTCCAAAGTAATAGAGTAAATTAATGAAATTTACAAATATTCTATGCAATAATTACATCCTAATTTACTTGCACTTGATCTTTCGAGTTTAGTAGCATTAATCACATTGAATAAATACATCATCTTCTTTTAAAAAGAAAAAGAATTCGATTCTACTTTAAGTCAAATTGTTCAAAAAAATCATAATAATCGTAATTTACTCTCTCTAAAACATCTATAATGGCTTAGTTGTTACTTTCAATGAGATAAGCTATTAACTTTTTTTTTTTTACAATAATTGTAATATATTATTAAATAAGTGTTATATATTAAATTAAAAAATATATAATATTAATTTAATAATTATATTATATTATAAATTTATAATGGCTTGTAACGTTATAAGTATATTATTTTTAAGCCTCTGTATAAACTCATCTCTGTAGGGAGAAACACAAAGGAAAATTTTACCAAAACAATATGGGTGTTTTCTCTTTCATTATCATCTTCTTAGCAATAATTCTATTAATCTTTCTCTCTTTAACAGTCTATAGTACCGTTAAAATTTACACCGGCAAGTCCATCAACGATCGGAACTATCCACCGGTGCACGGTTACGCTTTTGGCCAACTACTTTACTTTAACAGAATCCATGACTACTTCGCCGAAGTCGCCAAGAAATATACACCGTCGATTCCCGGGATGTTGAACACATACTGAAAACAAACTTTGACAAATATTCCAAGGGGGAGTATAATCAAGAAATTGTCAGGGATCTTCTAGGCGAAGGAATCTTTGGTGTCGACGGTGACAAGTGGCGGCAGCAGAGGAAGCTTGCGAGCTTCGAGTTCTCCACGAGGGTTCTCAGGGATTTCAGCTGCTCTGTTTTCAGAAGAAACGCCGCAAAACTAACTCGAGCTGTGTCAGAGCTGGTGATTCAGTGTCGTGCTTTGATATGCAAGTAAGTAATTAATCCAATTGTCTAAAAAGCTAAGGTTTTTTTTTTTTGCCCTTAATTGATTGATGTGAGATTTTCGATATGCTGATGAGATGCACCTTGGATTCAATATTCAAAGTTGGGTTTGGAGTGGAATTGAATTGTATGGATGGGTCCAGCAATATTCATGAAGGCTTTTGATGATTCGAACGAACGTGTCTATTGGCGATTTGCAGATCCATTCTAGAAGCTGAAAAGATTTCTCAACGTTGGTTCAGAGGCTTCCCTCAAGAAAAACATCAAAACTATGGACAGTTTTGTGCATAATCTCATTAGCACCAAAAGGAAATTGAGCTCCGTCCAAAGAGATCAAGTGAGTTCATATAATTTTTTATACAAGTTTTTTTCCTTGTAATGTTGCATGGATCACTGAGAATTGAATTTGATTTATTGAAGAATGTGAAAGAAGATATACTCTCGAGATTTTTGTTGGAGAGTGAGAAGAATCCAGAGATGATGGATGATAAATATTTGAGGAATATAATCTTAAAACTTCATGATTGCTGGGAAAGATACTGGCGCCGTTACTCTGTCAAGGTTCTTCTATATGCTCTGCAGGAACACCCTGATTCAGGAGAAAGTTGCCCAAGAAATTAGAAACGTTACTGGCTGTGGCAGGGAAGCAAATATTGTAACTGTTGATGATTTTGCTGCAACCATAACTGCTGGAATACAAGAGCAAATGCATTTTCTTCATGCAACCGTAACAGAGACGTTGCGACTGTACCCTGCAGTCCCTATAGTAAGTTCTAAAAAATTAACTTGATTTAGTGTTTAGAACTCGAATTAACATTTAAATGTGTTCTTTGGTGTATTTTAAAGGATGGGAGGAGTGTAGAGATGGATGACATTCTTCCTGATGGGTACAGACTAAAGAAAGGAGATGGAGTGTATTACATGGCGTATGCTATGGGCAGGATGCCATACATTTGGGGGGAAGATGCTGAGGATTTTCGACCAGAAAGATGGCTAAAGAACGGAATTTTTCAACCAGAATCGCCATTCAAGTTCATTGCTTTTCATGTTAGCATATATATACCATGGTTTGATCTCAATTTCTACATGTACTTTTGGTTCAATTTTTTGAACACCTACTAATGTTTTCAGGCGGGTCCAAGAATCTGTTTGGGGAAGGATTTTGCTTACCGGTAGATGAAGATTGTAGCGGCAACCCCTCTTCGGTTCTTCCTATTCATATTAGCCGAAGAGACAAAGAATGTGAATTATAGGACAATGTTCACTCTTCACATGGATGAAGACCTTCATCTTTGTGCAGAACCAAGGACAAGTTAATGTGGAGAGAACAAAATATATCTACAACCACATCTACAGCGCAACGTTATCAAGAAGCCTTTGACTCGTGTAATTTGTGTAATAATGCTTTATTTATTATATAGAACTAGAAGGTTAATACAACATGTACAAGGGTTTTTTCTTTTTTCTTTTTTCTTTTTTTCTTTTCTCTTTGTTGTCACATGAATAAGGTTGTTGGCTATGCTTCGGTCCTGTTCTCAGACATTTACACGATGCTAGCTGTTTTCAACTCTTGTCTAGTACAACACACCCTCTGAGAGGGAAATTTTGCTGCTGATTTCATGGCTTCTATAGGCCATAATTTGCCACTGGTTATAGCTTTCTCTACATCCAGCTCCAC